CTGGTGATCAGAGACACAAGACCCTCCACATTCCCACCCCTGTCTCTTTTCTGAGGGGCCCCTCTCTATCAACAAAGGCTCATCTAAATGTCCCTGGTCTGTGGCTCCCATCTAGCCCCTGACAGAGCAACCTTGCTCAAGCTGTGTATTTCTCTGTGCCCCTTCCCTCACACCTCTCTTTGACCATGGGACAAAGAAATGTCTTTCTGTGGGTGAACAGGGAGAAGGTCTGCCAGGGACCAGGGAGGCCCTCACATGCAGAGCATCAGGTAGTCCCTGACAGCCAAGCTGGGCCTCGGGAAGTGAATGTGCCTGACAAGTCTCAGGCTGCTGGGGGCAAGAGGTAGGCAGAGTGTCTCTGCAATGCCTTAAAGCCTTGTTCCTTGGCACAGCCTGCCCTGGCTCCAAGCCTGGCCCTGCTCCCTTGTCACTCCTCTCTTCCAGTCCACGATTTATGCCTGTGACTCCCCACACTGAACTCCATGCAGTCTCGCCCCCCACACTTTGCCCATGCTGCTCCCCTGTCCCCCGGGAATGTTGTCTCCTCTCTCTGACCAGCTCCTGTTTGTTTGTCCTTCAAAATTCAGTCCAAGAGGCACATCTCTCTCTGGGGGTCTTCCTTGAAGCTCTCAGTCTGGGCTGGGAGTTCCTCCCTATGTATCAAGGCACATGCCACATGCAAAATGAAAGTTAATTTCCAATCACTGTTTTTTTTTTTTTTAGAGACAGGGTCTTGCTCTGTCACCCAGGCTGGAGTACAGTGGCATGATCATAGCTCAGTACAGCATCAAACTCCTGGGCTCGGGTGATCCTCCTGCTCAGCCTCCTAAGCAGCTAGGACTGCCGGCGCATACCATCACACCCAGCCCCAGCCACCTCCTTGAGGGCATGCTGTGCTTTGTCTCAATGCCTGGTCAGTGCCCAACATCTGGCATAGCCTCTAGCACATGTTGGGCTCGGCAATAGTCTGCAGAATTAGTTAAATTAATGGGTTGGATGAATGAAAGATGGATTAAATAAATAATGAATGAATAATCCATGACATTCATTCATTCAATCTCAATAATCGAGAAAATTTAAAAATACAATAAGGTACCATTTTTATCTATTTAATTGTTTGGGGGGTTTCTCCTAGAATTAGACTTGAAGAAGTAAGATAGGTTGGCGCCAAGAAGTTCTAGCGCCAAGTTTAGCACTATTTGAAATAGTGAAAATAGTGAAAAGTCAGAAAGGTAATGAAAAATCAATATGGAGCTGGTTAAATAGATTATGGAACATTCATGCCATGGAATATGAGTAGCCTTTAAAAAGAACACAAGGATTCTCATCATTGCTGGTGGAAGTGTAAAATGATGTAGCAATTTTGGAAAAGTTTGGTAATTATTCAAAATGTTAAACATATCTGTACCATATGATCCAGCAGCAATTCCACTCCTAGGTATATACCCAAGAGAACTGAATGCATACATCCACACAAAAACTTGTACACAAATGTTCATAGCAGCATTACTCATCATAGTCTAAAGCAGAAACAACCCAAAGTCCATCAACTGACAGATGGACAAACAAAATGTGGTATGTCCATATAGTAAAACATTATTTGACAATAAAAAGGAATGAAGTACTGATAAATGCTACAATACGGCAGTACTTTGAAAACATGCTAAGTGAAAGAAGACAGTCACCAAAACATCATATATATACATGCATATGAAGGGAGGACCACCCAAGCCCAGGGCTGGGGAGGGGCGTCGAGGCTGCAGTGAGCCATGATTGTGCTGCTGCACTCCAGCCCGGGTGACAGAGTGAGACCCTGTCTCAAAAACAAAAACAAACAACAAACAAAACAAAACATATTTCAGAATAGGTATAATATGTTCTTTTTATTTATAATAAATATGTATATATAGACAGAAAGAGAGCTATTAATTACAAATAGGAAAAGGAAGGTCTGAAATGGTACACACCAAGCCATTTGCAAGAGTTACCTCTATGTGGTCAGCTTCGTGGATAGGGAGGGGACTTTTGTTTTATAAGCCTTTAGCATTTGCCTTTTTACCATAAGTATGTCCTGCTTTTGACAGTTTAAACAAGAAGGAAAGTGAAATCATATGGAGATTCCACTGAAGGCTGATGAATCAGGGCCTAGAGCCCGCTGGCATCCACGCCAATGGAAAGAGTGTCCCAGGAGCCATGATGTTTCTCTAATGCCAGGGAGTGGCCTTCTTGGAGGGACAGCTGGACTTTGCGAGTGTGGGCCTTTTTCCCTTGGATCTCAGGCAAAGCCAGGAGCCTGGCCTGGAACCAAAGTTGTTTATATATTGACGAGGTGAAAGATTTACACCGAGTGAACCTAGGGTTCAAAATTCACAAACTCCTACAGTATGTACACTAGAGCAAAGCTTCCTTTCTGCCCAGCTCTCCTGCCCCACGGCGGCCAGACACCTCTCACTCATTTCACCTCCTTTCCAGATATAAAGTTGTACATTATATGTATGCTTCTTTTTCTTATTCTTGGTCTTGGAGACTGGTCCATAAGTATATACTATACAAAGAGACAACTCCTCATTTATTTTTTTAGAGAAAGAGGTCTCATTATGTTCCCCAGGCTGGACTCAATCTCCTGGGCTTAAACAATCCTTCTACCTCAGCCTCCCAAGTGGCTAGACTACAGACACACCACAGCACTCAGCTAGCCTCCTTCATCTTAGAGTCTCACATCACCCCGTGGTGGGGGCCCCATTTTATGGGTGGACCATGCTCTACTGAGCAGCCCCAGTTGGGCATTTAGATTTCTTCTGAACTTTTATAGGTCCATAGTCTCTTATCCAAACTGTTGGGATCAGAAGTACATACATGTACGGTTGACCTTTGAACAACATGGGTTTGAACTGCACTGGTCTGATTTTTCTCAATAAAAGTCACAAGTTTTGTGCCTGCCTCTCCTGCTCCCCTTCCATCTCTTCTACCCCTGCCGCCTCTGCCACCCCGAGACAGCAAGACCATTCCCTCCTCTTCTCCTCCTCAGCCTGCTCAATGTGAAGACAGCGAGGATGAAGACCTTTATGATGGTCCACTTCCACTTAATAATATATTTTCTCTTCCTCATGGTTTTTTAAATAACATTTTCTTTTCTTTAGCTCACCTTATTGTAAGAATACAGTATATAATATATATAAAACATATAAAATACGTGTTAATCGACTGTTTATTATTGGTAAGGCTTCTGGTCAACAGTAGGCTACTGATGAAGTCTTGGGGGAATCAAAAATTATATGCAGAGGTTCAACAGCAAGGGGCTCGGTGCCCCTAACCCCTGTGTTGTTCAAGGATCAACTATATATATATATTCAGAAAAGCAATTTAGCACATATTCCATATATTATAAAATACCCTAATGGTGGGCTGGGCACGGTGGCTCAAGTCTGTAATCCCAGCACTTTGGGAGGCCGAGGCAGGCAGATCACCTGAGGTCAGGAGTTCAAGATCAGCCTGGCCAAAATGGTGAAACCCCGTCGCTACTAAAAATACAAAAATTAGCTGGGCGTGGTGGCAGGCACCTGTAACCCTAGCTACTGGGGAGGCTGAGGCAGGAGAATAGCTTGAACCTAGGAGACGGAGGTAGTAGTGAGCTGAGTCCACACCACTGCACTCCAGCCTGGGCAACAATAACAAAACTCCGTCTCAAAAAAATAAAAAATAATAAAATAAAATACCCTAATGGGACCTACCCCATCATCAAACATGTTAATGTTTCCATTGCAAATATGGATAAGTGGAATAAATAAACATTATAAATGGTCTTGTCAGTTTTTTTTTTTTTTTTTTATAACAAGGGAGTGTGTGCCAATCTAATGGGAGAAATCCCAGTTTTCAGAACTTTCTGGGTTTCACAAGTGCAGATGAGGCTTTCTGGAGCCATACAAAGAAGACTGCAGTGAATAATTTTGGACGCATGTAATTTTGCAAGTGTACAAGTACATCCATAGGATGCATTTCTAAAGCAGAGAAGCTGGGACACAAGCTATGCTCATTTGTGATTTTGATAGATGTTTTCATAATAATAACGTTGCCTGTGAGCTGCTACACTGCGTGGTTTTCCAAACACTCTCACTTTTGTCTGTTAACTTTGGGGTAATGAAAATTCTTCCTCGAGAGTGGCGAGGAAGAGAAGTGAATTAAAGGGTACAGGCAGGGTGTGGTGACTCACCCCTGTAATCCCAACACTTTGGGAGGTCGAGGCAGGCCGATCACATGAGGTCAGGAGTTCGAGACCAGCCTGGCCAAAATGGTGAAACCCCGTCTCCACTAAAAATACAAAAATTAGCTGGGCATGGTGGCGCCCATCTGTAATCCCAGCTACTTGGAAGGCTGAAGCACAAGAATCACTTGAACCTGGGAGGCGGAGGTTACAGTGAGCTGAGATCAAGCCACTGAACCCCTACCTGGGCAACAGAGCAAGACTCCCTCTCAAAAAATAAATAAATAAATAAAAATAAATAAGGGGTATAAACATACAGTTAGATAGAAGGAATAAATTCATTGTTCAAAAGCAGAGTAAGGTGACTATCTTTAACCAAAATGTATTGTACTTGGGTAATGGATGCTGTAAACACCCTGGCTTGGTCACTACACATTATATACATGTAACAAAATTTCTCATGTACTCCATCAATTTGTACAAATAATTTAAAAAATTCTTCCTCCTGGCCTCTCTGCACAAAGCCAGACTCAGTCTCTGGCCCTCAGGAGAAGCATCCAGAGGGCTGTGAGAGTGTACGCTTTGCAGTCAGAATGACAGCAGGACAGTCCCCTTCCTCCTCTGTGACCCTGAGCAAGTTACCTGTGTCTGTCCTGAGCTTTCATTTCCTCCCCTGCCTCCAGGACAGTCCCTCTGCACTTGCCCACCAACCTGTGCTCCGCTTTCCTGCCCAGCCCCGGCCCCAGGAACTGGGTTTTGCCTGCCCTCCCGCAGGGAAGAAGAGTCCAGGCCAACAGAAAAAGGTCCACAGGCTTTTTAATGGTGTGATGGCTACTTCCCTTCCGAGACCCGATCTAATCATTGACAGTGGCTTCCAGGGTGTTGGGGTGGGGTGGACAGGTGCAGGATGGGCAGAGGCCATGCAGTGACTGGGAAGGGCTTGGGGAGGGGTGTTACATTCTGTTTGGCATGTAAACATTCTTAGGTGGCTTCCCGAGGGAGGGGAAGGGCAACTTCCTGCTCCCCACCCCATGCCCACCAGGGCTAGTCCCTGGAGTTGAGAAGACTGAGCAAACCAGGCCCCTGTGAGGAGCTGGGAAATGGGGAGCCTGGGGCACAGCTCCTCTCCTCTCCTGTGCCCCCTTCGTGCACGATGCGGCTGGGGAGGGAAGGCATGTGTTGGGGTGAGCAGACCCTGCATCTGAGTCAGTGACATAGGTTGTTCTGACAGGAAGTGCTGAGGGAGGTGGTGTGACACTTTTACAGAGGAAGGGCTCAGGACCTGGAGGCCTGGTGGAGAGAATGAATGCTCAGGGGGAAGAGGCTGCAGCTGGGGTTGGGGGCACCGGGAGATGTGGCTTCCTCTGCCCTGGATCCTTCCTGGGGAGAGGCACAGAGGCAGTCCCCTAGGTGACCCCCTCCCCACTGGCCCACTTTACCTCTCCCACCTCACCTGGTGACATTCAGAGACTCAGAGGCCTGAGGTCAGTTGGGAGCCCTAGGGTGGTTCGGAATCCCAAGGGAAGACTGGGTTTTGCGTCTCTGCCAGCTCCAATGCTGAGTGAAGCTGGGGGTAGAATGGACCTGGGGCTCTCTCAGGTCCCCCTCTTCCTCCCAGCTCCAAACCAGGGTGTTGTTGGTCCCGGGGCAGAGGTGAGGCTGGGGGCCCTACATTCACGGTTCGGTTGGTGGCAAGGAGCAGGCCCAGGGCCTGGGCACCAGGAGTCATGTCCTGGTCCCCACCTGGCACGAGCTGATTGTCATTCGGAGAAGCTCTAGGTGAGAGGCAGTGGTCCCTCCTCCACTCCCTCTGCTGGACCCAGAGGGCAGTAGAGGGCCTTGGGAGGGCCTCAAGTTGACAAGGAGGGCTCTGTCCGGAGAAGTTTCCTGAGTGTTCTGGGAGCTTCTGCATCAGCGTAGGGTGGATATCAAAGACTGTCCACCCAGGAGTCCTCCCCTCGGCTGGTCTGCAGAGAAGCCACCACCGTGGCCTGAAAGTGGCTGCCCAAGCTGCTGACTCTCCATGAGGGGGAGGGTGCTTTCAGGGTCAGCTGCCTCATGGGCATCCTTCTGGGTGATGGTGGCTGGATGCAGCCAGACCGCTGGGGCACACTAAGGCCTTTCTTCCTCTTTCCCTGGATGTCTTGGCTTGCTCTCTGTGACTCAGGGAAGGACAGAGAGGCTAGGCCAGGGGACAGAGGCTGCAGGGGCCTGTCCAGATAGGCAGGGCTGGCTGTCCCATCTGCAGCCGGTGTGCTGCTTGCCCCAGATGTAGGCAGTTGAGGCTCATGATGAGGTGCGGTGAGCTATGCAGGAGCCAGAACCCAGGAAGAGTCCCCACATCCATTCCTGGAGTAGAGCGGCTGCACAGGCTGGGGTCGGGGCAAGAAGGAACAGGCTGAAGGGTGAGCTGAGGGAAGAGTGGGCTTGGACTGAGGACCCATCACTCAAACATTCGATCTGGAAGTTAGAAGGGCCTTTCTGCCTCCAGGGGCCAGCTGTCTGTTGGTCGACCTCTCTCTGCTCTCTCTGCCCATTGCGGGAGACGATGCCTGAGCCAGCCCTCCCTCCCTCCCACAGAAGGGAGGACAGGGAGAGTGACTCCACCAGAACTGAGTCCTCGAATCTCCAAAGGGCCAGTGCAAAGATGGTAACCAGCCACTTTCCACCTGCATTGAACTCAGGAAAGAGCAGGTTGGCTGGAACTGCAGTAGACAGGACTGAGGTTAGATGACAGGAAGGAATTCCTGATGGTGAGGGGTCCTGAGCACTAGATCAGGGGAACAGGGGAGGGAGTAAAACTTTGTTAAAGCCCCCTCCAACATCCCACTGGGAAATACTTGCCCGGGAAGGCAGCCCACACGCTTCCTATGGTTCCCACAGAGGCACCACCCAAATTTAGGAGGCAAGAGGTTTCTGCACCCCAGAGGTGCAGGGGAGCACATCCCCTGCCCACAGAATCACCTGCCCACCCATCTCCAAGATCACTTGCCCACTGCCTCCCACCGAGTTGTCCAGGATGGAGTCAACTTTGGGGCAGGTCAGACCTGCCCCCTCACACCTGAGTAGACCGATATCCCCTGGGTCCCCAACTCCAGCCTGGCAGTCCAGAGGCCATCCCTGGCCACAATGGCTCCCAGAAGACTGTGGGGCTGGACCCTCGGGGGGAGGCTGGAGCCTCCACTTCTGGAATTTGAGGCTACTTCTCTGAAGGGGTAGGGGGACTTTGGCTGGAAAGGGGTCGGAGGAGGGCAAGGCGCCGCAGGAGGTGTAGGCAGAGGTTGCTGGGGGAGCATGGAGAGCAGCCTAGGCCTGGTGGGCGAACGAACTGGGCGTCCCCAAAAGTGGAGTCCTCGATGAAAAGTGGCTGAGCCTTCCCCGGGGCGGAGAGACTGATGTGAGGCTGGCCGGCCTGACGGGCGGCAGGAGGATGAGAGGACACAGGGCGAGGAAGGGGAGGCAGACCCTCCCCGCGGCGCGGTGCCGCGTCCCCCACCGGCCCTGAGGGCTGGTGGGGCGCCGCGTGTGCTCGCGTGCGTCCTCGCGGGTGCAGGCGGAAAGCTGGGGCCAAGGGTGGCGCGCGTCGGGCGCGTAAGGCTGTGCTGGGAGCTGCTCCAGTGTGACCGGCTGCGGGTGGGGGGCCGGGGTGAGGGTGGGGGACCGCGGAGAGCCGCGGGCGTCATTATCTGGCCCCAGCCCGGCCCTCCGCGCCTCCTGCCCGGCCTTTGGTTGTTGCGCGCTGAGCCTGGAGTTTCCCTCTGGGTCCTTTCTTGGAGCCCCCGGGGGAGGGGGTGCCATCAGGCTGGGCCCGGGCCGACGGGACGCCCCGGGGCGGGGGGACCCCGGGCCGGGCCTGGTGCGAGGGGGAGGGGCTCTCTCTGCGGGACAGGGACTGGCTCCGGGGGGACGCGCTGGCATTGCGCGCGGCGGAAGTGGACGTGGGGAGGCCCGGGCTGCGCGGGGCTGAGGGCCTGGCTCCGGCTTGGGCTCGCCCTGGGCCCAGGCCGCGGCCAGGAGGTTGTTTGGGGCGGAGGTCAGCAGCAGTGGCCGACCCCGGGGGAGTCTGCAGCTGGAGCCTGCTTGAGAGCAGAAGGCAGGAGAAAAGGAGAGGGCAAAGAAACAAGACAAGGAGAAATATTTCAGAATCCTCCTGGGCACTGAGCACTGGAGTCCTGCATCCTCAGAGCTGAGACTGAGACCATGGCACAGATGGGTAAACTGAGGCCTGGCATTCTGTCCTCCAGGGCAGGACCTTGAGGGGCCACACGCTCCCAGGCTGCTGCTGGAATAGCCTGCTGCTGGCTTTCTTTGGGGTCCTCATTTCATCTTTAAAATTCTCATGGATTTTGCATTCTAATCTAGAATATACCTATGTTTATATTAATATGAAATGTTTTCTCCCAAGGAGTCAAAGCACTGGGCTTTATCCTTTGGCTTCCAATGCCCCATGGCATACCAGAGGCTGCGTGTGGACCCACTGGCTCCCATCAGCTTTTCCTAAGCCTGGTCTCTCTGGCACCCTCTCCACACATGCTTACTGAAGCCATTCCCCTGAGCCCAGTAACAGGGCTGGAACCCGAATCAGAGTGAGGCAGAGCACAGTTGGGAGGTGCTGGACCAGAGGTGTCACTGAGGGTCCCTCCTGATCTTCCATAGCCCCTGACCTTGGTTCTGGAGAAGCCCCTGCTGGTGGAGGCCTGTGGCCACCCTCTGCCCACCCTGGGGCTGGCAGTGGTTTCTCACCTGCTGGTGATGGCTGTGTCCGATGCTGGGGCCGCGCCGTGGGATTTGCTGGGGAGCTGCTGGGCTGCAGCAGGCATGGGCATGCGGAGGCCAATGGGGCGGGGAATCCGGCTCCGGGTGGCGGCTGCCCGCCCGACCTTCCTGGGCAAGGCCACTGCCGGCTCAGAGGCGGGCGTGTCCTCCTCGGAGCCCGTGCCTGAGAGGGTCTCAGAGGCACGGCGCTGCTCCTCACTGGAGGAGGACGAGGCCCCTGAGGCCAGCCGCAACAGCAGGCGGCCCTGCCTCTTCTCCATCACCAGCCGTGCCAGGTCCTGCTGCAGCCGGGCCCGCTTGCTCCACCGCTCTTTGGCCGACAGTGAGCCTGAGGGCTCGGAGCCGGTGTCCTCCTCAGATAGTAGGATGGGGATACGGCTCCTGGGGCGAGAGCCTGGCATAGCATGGTGTCTGGGGGAGATGGTGGCCACTTTCTCAGGGCTGGGCTCCAGTGGGGACACCGGGGCTGGACTGTCTGCAAGGGCCGGGCCATTGGGCAGTGAGTTTGTGGCCATCGCTGAGGGGGTTTCCCCGGGGGGCCCAGACAGGGCACAGCCCTCTATCTCGGCCCCATTCAGTCCTGAGAGGGCGAGGCCGTTCTCCAGGGGCGCTGGGGCCCCCTCCTCCACAGTGCCCCCATCAGAGGCCAGCTCCAGACCCAGCTCGCCCCCAGTGCTGAACTCCTCAGGCCGCAAGGCTTGTCCACTGGAAGACATGACGTTGAGGTGGGTTTTCTCCGCAATGTGCACAAAGGTCCTCTCAACTTTGGTGAAGGGTGAGGAGGTGACTGCCACGCCCCCGGCCCCTGTGGTCACTGTCCCGGCCCCCGGCCCTGCCCCAGGCCCCGGGGGTTTGGGCTCAGACTTGAGGACAGAGGAGAGGGTGCCTGGCTCAGATACGTCCAGCTGGCTGCCCGTGGGCTGGGGCCGCTCATGCTGAGGAGTGAGGGCAGCCAGGGTGCCCAGGTCAGGGTCGGGGGCCAGTTCGGCAGTGACGGGCGACTTCTTCATGTCGCCAGGAGAGACGAGCACCAGCGTTTTGGAACCCTCCTCAGGCTCCAGGTCCCCATCAGCCATGGAAGCCCGGCCCCTGGACTCCTTTTGATCGTCTGCCAGCAACGTGGACGGGGCGCCCTCCTGGCTCCTGTCGGTGCTCCTCTCACTCCCCTCACTGCTGGAGCCACTGCGAGGCCCCAGCACCTCCCCCAAGGCAACTGCCGCCGCAGCCTCTTCCTCCTCCTCTTCCTCCTCCTCCTCCTCTTCTTCCTCCTCCTCTTCCTCTTCCTCCTCATCTTCCTCATCCTCTTCTTCCTCTTCCTCATCTTCCTCTTCCTCCTCCTCCTCCTCTTCCTCCTTCCCATTAGCCTGAGGCTGAACAGGAGACAGCGGGACCTGGGGGGTGGTGAGCAGCATGTGGGAGAAGCCCACCCTCCGGACCCTGTTGAGCAACCGCGCCCGTTCTCGGTAATCGGAGAGGTCCCTCTTGAAGTCCTGGTAGGGCAGACT